CGTCTATTCTGGGTTTAAATGGCTACAGCAGGGTTTATGCACACTTTTACTTATTTTTTTTATTTTTATTTTTTAAACTTCCAACCAACCATTAACCCTTCAGCTGCCAGTGGCAAGATGATGCATTAGCCTCGCGCTTCTGGAAGCCCAAGGGTGTAAAGAGGAGAAAAAAAAGTCAAAAGGCAGGGATGAAAAGGAAAGCTACCAAATTCTTTTTAATTTTCAGAATGTAATTTGAATGATGATTGTGGTAATATTTACACATTCAAGTTTCTACAATAAACTTCAGTCTACCTCAGTTTTTTGAAATTGTGGCAACACATAGTGCATAAAGACTGCTGTGTGTGTGCGTGTGTGTGTATGTGTGGTCTTAACAGAGCCATGCGATTTACCTCTGAACCTTTATTTTTTTGTGATGTTTTTGTGCATGAGATGATCACAATCACCATGCTGCACTGATTTGAGGGGCACAACTAGCAAAAAAAAAATTATAAAAAAAAATTGTTTCATCATTTTGTTGATCTACCTCTTAGAGTCATATTGAAATAGAGGCATTTCTGCATAGAATAGATAATTTCCCAAAGATCATTGTTGTACAGATTTAGATCTTTTTTTATTTGAAAAATGGTCTGAAGTGTTTTTCTTTCTTATTCTTCCTCTATACTTTTACTAATTTGGTTCAAAGAAATGAGTTAAAAAGGAACAGATAACCTATGTTGTAGTTTTAAGAGAAAAATAAATTTTCTTTTCTTGACAAGAGTGACTTCATTTAGTGTTTAGGATATTTCTTACATTGATTTAAAAATACTGAACTATGAAAAAAAAAGTCATTAAAATAGCATATTGAACTTTCGTTGAGGCCTAAGTATAGACCCAACCTATGTTTTTCTTAACATGTTGAAGCAGACATAACTTGATTTATTTCCATGATTTTTTTTTTTACTTTACAGATAGGTGCTGCATTTACATCTGCTGATTTAAATACTGTCATATCTCTTTAAATTTCTAGACTGTTAGTGTGGTAATCATGTTATTTTCAATTGAGACTTGGTAACTTGGAGTATTTTGGCAATAGATACAGTAGAAAGTAATACTGTACATAAGTTTAATATCTGCAAAGCATGGATCATTTTTCATCTGTAATGTGCCCCCAAGCAGCTCCACTTGCCAGATGCCTCTGAATGGAATAAAGAGTTTAACTCCTAATTTTGTGGTCTTGTGTTTTTTATTGTTGGTGGTCATTAAATGACTTGAACCAAAAAAAAATCGAAAAGGGCGCAACGGATGACCCAATCCTTTGCACTGGCCGTCCATCCTCTGGTCCTGCGAAACGAAATGTAAGTGCTTATTCCTTTTCCTCAGCTATCCTCCGGTTTTTTGCCCAGTGCACCCATTGTTACACCATTCTCCTGTCATTTTCCCTGGGTCTCCCGACCTGGTCAGTTAGCCCACCTAGCGTTGCGCCCTTTTCGATTTTTTTTGGTTCAAGTTTTTAGATACACAGGCACTCCTCCTGGGTTTTAGGGCTGCACACGATCTAGGGTCATACATTGTTCACCCCCTTATCAGTTCAAGAGCGCTGTTTGTACGTTTTTGTGTTTTTTTTGGTCATTAAATGACTGGTAACCTCAAAGGGCTATGGGGTAAGTTCACTAAACGTTCTCATGAGATAAAATGGTCGTGACTTTTTTTTGAGAAATATCACATGAGATAGTCAATTCATTAAAAACCTGTCTGACAAATAAAAACCCTAAAAAAACCAGAGATAAATATTGCATGAAAAAGTCATTTAAAGTGACACTAAACTAGTTAGTTCTTAAAAATGCATTTGAGTACCTTAACTATTAAAAATGTGTGCATCGGACCGGAGCTCACTCTTTGTGTGGTGCGCTGTGATGACGTAGGACGGTTGCGTCACCCGCCCGTACACTAGTCTCACTAAGCAACTATACGCAACTGGAGCCCGGATGAGACACATTTTCCCCTACAGCCCGAACCCGGCCGAGGCTCGTTACAGGGCGCAGAAAACCTGTTCTTGGCTCTCCTCTCTGGTTCTCTGCTCCTGCCCTCCACTAATGTAGCGGTCTGTTTGGATCCACCGTCGGCACCTACCTGCGGAGCGGACGCAGCGGCAGCAGACTAGCTGACGGCACACGGGATCCTGTACTCCTCCTTCCCCCCTCGCCACCTGTCACATCCCCCATCTACAGAGCAGGTAAAGCGGCAGCAGCGGACTGGCGGATGGGACCCTGTGCCCCCTCAGCTGCTTGTTTCAGCTCCCTGCTTTGGATCTGGGTCATTTGGCACCAGGATTTGTGGTTGGCCGGTCTGAGCACTTTTGTTTGTTGGATGGGTGCAGCTCACGGAAACTTCCAGCAGACAACGGACATACCAGCCTTTCAAAGGACTACATAATGGGGAGTAAGGGAAAGAAAAAAGAGAAGCAGCCATCGCCGCAGCAGCTCCAACTATCGGCATCAACGAGACGGATTTCCTCATCAAAGATCGGGACTTATTTTACAGGTACCTGTTCATGTTTATCACAAGGTGGGGATAATAGGATGCAGGCACCTGCTTCTCCTGTTAACGAGAAGGATCAAGGTGGCACAGGGAGGCATGCAGAGGATGGAAACATGCAAAGCCACTCAATACGTTCACAGATGTATACTGACATTTCCCCAAAAGGGAAAACCTATGGCCGGTTGGAGGGGATGGAGCAACAGGATCTGGAATACTATCTGAGATCTCTTCCCACTAAGGAAGACATGGAAGGATATATATCTAGACTGGAAAAAAACTTATAAAGAGGAATTGCAAGTGTTAAAAACTGACATCACAAGCATAGGAACTAGAGTAAGAGGGCTGGAGGAAAGTCTGGAAATAGGCTCCTCCAGAATGGACATACAACAGAAAACTATTAACAATCAGTCCACTCTAATTCAAGATATGCTATACAAAATGGATGACATGGAAAATAGGAGTAGATGGAATAATATTCGGATACGGGGTATACCCGAGTCAGTAGACTCACTTGTTCTATCTCAAACCATAAAGTCCATATTAAATGGAATAATGGATAAAACCCCTGAAGCAGATTTATCCCTGGAGGCAGTGTATAGAGTACCAGTATTTATTAAGAGATACAACACAGCCCCGAGACGTGATTTGTCGTCTACAAAATTACCTGGAAAGAGAAGCAATATTTTCAGCAATAAGAGCTAAGAAAACAATAACACACGATGGATATATAGTGACCTTTTTTTTCCCCGATCTCTCAAAACAGACTCTGATGCTCAGAAGGGCTCTGAAACCCCTGCTTGAGGTGCTACAGGAGAGAGGAATAAGATACAGATGGGGGTTACCTTTCCAGTTAATAGCATATAGAGATGGGAAAACCGTAAAATTCCAGACAGTAGAAGATCTCCCTGTTTTCTTAGAAACACTGGAAATGCCCAGGATACTTCTACCTGATTGGCCAAAGGATCTAAACATAATTAGAGAACAACAAAGCCAGGGTTGGACTGTAGTTAATCGTTAATTAAAATGACCGGGTTATGAAAAACTGAGGTGATATTGGTGGGGCGGGCGGGAGGAATTGCATCGGACAGACGTATTTTCGGCATCTGCAACCCTAACAGAGCCCATTGTTTTTTTTTGTTTTGGGGGCTGGTTCTTGATTGGTTTATACAGGATGGGCAAAAAAGGCACCACCCTGTATACAAGAACATATGTATTGTATAGATGGTATAAGAATATATGAAAGTGCGAATGTATGTTTTAGTGATTGTACGTGTTCAGGTCATATGCTCAATAATTATAGAAAATCACTTAATTTGGTCA